TTTCGCATATGGTGGATGGCAGAGTTTATCGTGTCCAAGCGGGAGAAGGTAGCGATCCGGAACCGGTAACTCCAGGTGAGTTCCTATCACGCTTAGATTCTGGAAATGTGCCTTACTTACAGTCGCCAAGAAAATGTGCCTTATCGCTACGCCGCATTCGAACCACACCCTGATCGACCAGAACTTTTGATATCGATACTCGAGGACCACACCTATGATATTCCTTCTGAGGTCATCACGACGTTGATAATCATTGATTCTGCCAAGAAAACCATTCATCCCCTCTTATCAGGCGCCGACTTCTACGCCATGCCTAAATTCTCTGCAAATGGGAGGAAGTTCGCGTGGATACAATGGTTTCACCCTGATATGCCTTGGGAGGGTGGTGAAGTCCATGTGGCAGATGTCATTATTGGAGACAACAAGACATTATCGCTTCAGAACACCATTCATGTCGCTGGCGTTCGCGAAAGGGTTGGAGCTGGGTATCCTGCATGGGCGGATAACGACACGCTAATTTTTATGTCAGACGAGTCAGGATTTGTAAATCCTTGGAAGTTTCACGACGGAAAGGCCTCACCATTGTTTTCTGAAGCCATTCCGGAGGACTTTGCCTCCCCACTCTGGTCTCTCAGTTCCTTCCCGTACGCTGTTTTCGATAAAAGTGGGAAGACAGGCCTATTCAGTGCTCTGAGGGACGGTAGGAACATTCTTTACCTTGTGGATTTCGCCGGCAATGCCCAACCCAAACCTATCGATAGTCCATTTGTCGTTATCAACAATGTTCACGTTGTTTCTGCCGAAAGACAGGAAGTAGTATTCAGTGGACAGAAAACCAACGAAAGTCACTCCATAGTCCAGTGCTCCCTCACCTCTTTGGCCAATTCTGAATATCTTGTGCTCAAAGGCGTAGAACCCGCCAAGGTGGACGGTGTTCCTCTTCCCCTGGACCTTATTTCAGAACCACAGCCCATTACTCTGCACGTACCCGCTACAAATGCTATCCTGCACGTTGTTTATTATCCTCCAAAGAATCCTGCCTATTCTGGAGGCAGCACTGATAGCGAAAAGCCGCCTTGCATCGTTAACATCCATGGCGGCCCGACGGGACTTGGGACCCAGGGACTGAGCTGGTCGAAACAATACTGGACCTCTCGAGGGTGGGCCTGGTAAGCATGCACTTATCCGATCCAAATGAGACGGACTTTGTGAAGGTTTTTCCACAGGCTTGATGTTAACTATGGAGGTTCTTCTGGTTATGGACGTAAGTATATTGAACGACTTAACAACAATTGGGGGATAGTAGACGTTCAGGATTCCGTCTTCGCTCCTCAGGCTCTCTCCATCGAACCATATAACCTCATTGACCCCAAGCGCCTAATTATTCGGGGAGGATCTGCCGGAGGGTTTACGGCCTTAGCATGCCTTTCCATCGCATCAGATGTTACCGTTTTCTCCGCAGCTACATCATTATACGGGGTCTCGGATTTGAAGAAACTAGCAGAGTTTACGCACAAATTTGAATCTCGCTATCTCGACCATCTCATAGGCGGTACTACAGAGCAAGTTCCTGAAATCTATGCCAGCAGATCCCCTATACACCACGCTAAAAAGATTGTCGTCCCTTTGTTAGTGAGTAACAATATCTAGGATCCCCTTTGTTTTTGATGGAATGTGTCATTTGGCTCTGTAATAGATCCTGCAGGGTGAAATCGATATGGTCGTACCTAAAGACCAGGCGGAAGCAATATACAAGAGCATTCGAGAACGGGGAGGCGAAGTCGAGTATAAGCTGTATCCAGGCGAAGGCCATGGGTTCCGCCAGGAAGTTAACATGAAAGACGCATATGAAAGGGAACTAGCTTTCTACGAGCGCATTCTAGGATTGAAACAAAATTAAAATCGTTCTCATCTATATGCATGTTATGATTGACGGTGTTGGTTTTCAACTTGCTGTAGAAATTTGACGTTTAAACCCTGCTCAAGATCGGTGACTCTGTATTGTACATTCACTCAACGGCTCTCAAGCGATATGAGTACGGTTTTTTAAGAATACCGCTAGTACCTAGACTCGACCCCAGTCTCCGTAGGTGTACTTACTAATAGCGTGGAAAATCGAAGGAAAATGATTATTTCACCGAATTTGAATTTGGGTAACCGAGGAGGGGTAATTGTGGTAACAAATCTGATCCCAAATCAGATCAATCCATAACGGCTGGTTTCGAGACTAGCTAGTACCCGCGAACCCTGAAGGCTTTACGCACACGAGTTGCCTGGGGTCTATGACATTATTTACCGGACCGACCCATGGTTTTGTCACCACGGCAGAAACTGCTGACTCAGATGCTCAGACCAAAAATAGTTGGCTGTACCGGCCGATAAGATTGTCACAATCATCACAGATAAGAATATCTAGGTTATTATTTTCTAACCTCACAGGTGGTATCAGGAATTCAGCTCGAACCTACTACTTACCTCGCAATGAAGACGATCAATAGATTTTCGAAACTAAGTATTCGAAATTGTAATCGCAAGTAAATGTGACAGTGACGACCGTGGCACCAATGGCCCGAGCCGGTCGGCATGATCTGTCGATAGAGAGCTTGCGTAGTCGCCGGCAAAAAGGCAGGATCACAACCGTAATCTTTAAATTGTGTGCCTTTCCTTACTCTATCGTGCCCAGTATTTCCCATCTATCTCTTACCAACAGAACTGCACCCCACGTCCAACATGTCTGAAGGAAAGAAAATCGGTTACGGTGAGATAATACTCTGCGTACAGAGGCTTTTGAAAAATCCTGACAGACCGGCGGAAGTGCGACTCGGCAACTCTGGGTTGAAAGTTTCGAAGATCATCTTGGGCTGTATGTCTTATGGCACCCCGGAGTGGCAGGCCTGGGTTCTGCCAGAGGAGGAGTCGATCAAGCACATCAAAGCAGCGTGAGTGTCTTACAATACAGAGTTTGCTGCCACGATGTGTTATTGACATAATTCGAGCAAGTTATGATGCAGGTATCAACACTTTCGACACTGCCAACGTAATCCATCTTCCCATTCTCTGATTCTTACCACTAAGTTTCTGCGTCTTATACTAGGCCTACTCCAATGGATATTCCGAGATTGTCCTTGGAAAGGCTATCAAAGAACTTAAGCTTCCTCGGGATGAAATAGTGATCATGACCAAGGTCAGTTGATCAGCGATTTGAATTCAGAGTCAGTACTGTATTGATATTCTTCGCAGCTTTTCTTCCCAGTCGGCAAGACTCTAAAATCCGCTTGGATAACAGACCCAGATGCCCAGGGATATATCAACTTGCATGGTCTTAGCCGAAAGGTCGGTCTTTTCAACATCAAACATAACAAAGTTTACTAATCCGGCTCTGAGCTCAGCATATCTTCGAGTCCGTAAAGCACAGTTTGGAGCGCCTTCAGCTGGACTACATTGACGTTTTACAATGTGAGATATTTCTTTTCTATACATTCCCAATGCTGATCGGAATTTGGACGAACGCAGGCCATCGCTTTGATCCCAACACGCCAATCGAGGAAACGGTATTGTTTCTCATCAGAGTACATGTTTCAATTGTCTCAAAAACAGTAGATGCAAGCACTTCACGATGTGGTCAAGGCCGGATATGTACGATACATTGGGATGTCCTCCTGTTGGGCTTGGCAATGTATGTAGTTCCATCATCGTAAGAAACGGTAGCCTTTAACTAACCAACTCTTCTCAAAGTCCATGCTATGCAGAGTGCGTCTAATCTCGATAAATATCATTCAAATTCCAATGCAAATCTTCTTTTCTCCTAGACTACGCCATCAACAATAAGCTAACACCGTTTATCTCCATGCAAAATCACTACAACCTCATCTACCGCGAAGAAGAACGCGAGATGTTCCCTACACTCAAGGTGCTTATGTTTCAAGCTACCGTTCCCACTGCTGTGAATTCTGAATGATCGTTTTCCCCTGCCTGTTTCCAGTACTTTGGTGTTGGCTCGATTCCGTGGTCTCCTCTCGCTCGTGGTCTGCTCACCAGACCATTCGCCGCCAGAGGTGATACCGTGAGGGGAAAAACGGACAAGTACGTAATTACCATAGCTCAATGAGTTTCGAAGAGTTTCAATTCCCGCGACATGTCAGATGGGCATCTGGGTACAGCGACAACAAGGGCACAGAGGAAATAATCAATACGTATGTGGTTAATCCCACTTTGGTGGCTTTAAGTGCTGATGACGACTTTCTCATGTTTCATAGTGTCGAGAAAATCGCGAAACAGAAAGGCCTCACGATGGCGCAAGTTGCCTTGGCGTGGATTTTATCTCGAGAAGGTGAGTAGACTTTCGTGGAAAACTTGCAACAGAACAGGAATTCTGATGCGAGATTAGGCGTAACGGCCCCCATCGTCGGCACCACTTCTTTGCAGAATTTAAAAGATCTAATCGGTTTGTTCTCTCGCCCGGAGCCGTCCGTTTGTCAAGTTTTGATTCTGACGTGGTTGATTCACCAGACGCAGTTAATGTACAGCTCACTGATGAAGAAAAGAAGGAGTTGGAATCTCCTTACCTTCCTCAGGCCGTTTTCGGTCACTTCTAGGAATTCCGCTCGAGTTGAACAATGATGACACATGAATTCGGGGGCATACTCGTTACATATGCAGTTGGGGCGATATATAGGAAGCATTCACGTACGATGTGGAAAAAAAATATTCTTTGTCAATTTGATGCTTTGTTAGACGCAGCGATTATCACTGCTGGCACCAACCTCTGTTTCTTTGGGAAACAGCATGAAAGAAACACGTCACCTGATTTGTTTTTAGATGTTTCTCCAGAAACCAGCATTCGGCCTTGCCTAATTTGGTATGGCCGACCAGTGTTTCTCAAGAAAACAGCGGAAAAAAAGTCATATGACGTGTTTCCCAGGTACTGTTTCCTCAAGAAACACTACTCAGTGCCAGCAGTGTATGCTTGTTTGGTCATGGAAAGATGAAAGAAGCAAAAGTTCGGATACGGGGAATCGAACCCCGAGCTGCCGCGGAATCTCGTGAGAGGCGGCAATGTTAGCCGTTACACCATATCCGACATGGAGTAGAAGTCTATTCAATTTATTATTTACCCATATGATTCCCAATGGTGATTCATAATTACTGTTCTATATTTCGCCAGGACCTTCATTCAAATACAACCTTGGTTACCACGTTGAAGGACTTGATTTCTATCTGTCAGTGCGGATTAAATAAAATAAAACCGCAAAAACTGACCCGAAGCGCGCCTGTCCACTGTTTAGGATCCTCAGTGGCGTTCCCAGATAATCCGCTGTAGTGACGTAAACCGCATTACCCCACCATGTCTGAATGTTATCTTTTCCAATGGCACCATTGTTAGGATACTGCAAACTGTTTGCGCCAATGATCATGAGAAGAAAAAATTTCAACGAAAGACAAGTAATGCACCAGAAGAAAATCAGGATCACTCCAATGGCGACGCCTGAATCAAGTGCGGCCGATAGAACATCTGATATACGATATCAAGTCAGGTCAGGTCCTTTTCAGGGATGACTAATGACAGAAGCTCACAGTTGTACTTGGTCCACCATGCGAAATGGCGTTTCCTAATGATATATTGGAAAACAAATCCGACCATTCCCCACGTAACGTAGTTGACGGCGTTTGCAGGCGGGAGCGCATTTGTTCCAGCGAGAATGACCCTTTCGTAGCAGTGAATAATGATGAAAGGCGTATTTACGACTGACATACGGTATGCTGTAGCAAGTATAGATCAGCATCGGAGAATGAGAAATAGTAAGGATAGACCGACTTTACATAGCGAATCCAGGATTTTGGAAATTGTTTGAGAAGCAGCCAAGCGATAATTGGCAGAACAAATCCGATTGGGAAGAAAAATAGCAACGCTGGACCAGAAATTTAGTCTCAACTAGGACCATAAATGAATGACTCCAATTCACCACTGTTATTCAGCATTAGGTACGCCGAGGTCAAATATTAATTAAAACGTCGACATACTAATAGATCTGCCCTTTCGAGAACTGCCGAGCAGGGCCTATAACTCCCCATATGATAGACGCCGTCCCGAAGACCTCAGTAAATGGACAAATAAACCTAGAAGGGTGATATCATATCTATTTGACATATACGAGGTGGAATATCATTACCCGCTTTCTTGGTCTGGACTACACAAGCCCCTAAACAAGTAGATTCAGCAACAAGCTCAATTAAACCAGGCGAATGAGACGCACTCGATATTGGTAAACATCCAGGATTGCACGGCAAGTTGGACGGTCCCGGCTATAACTGCGCAAATGACCTTAAATTTTTAGTCAGTTAGTATAGACGAGATATACCTGACGATTCCAGGGCCTACCTGTGCGAAAAACATTGTTCGAGGTGGAATTTTCATGTAGCTAAGAAATTAAGATGTATGTTAGAATGAATGACAATTGTCATGCGATCACGCACTGTCCCAACTTGAAATCGGAGGAGAAGGTCAAGGCTAGAAGAAACAGAAGGCGTAAGCGTGAGATCGGAAGAGACGACTTGATTGACCTTGAGTCATGGTTATATAACCCCAAGTCTTGAACAGCATCATGGCGACAGGACGTCCAGGAAGCGCGTATCCAACAATGAGCTCCGCAATAACACTTACAAGGAAAGAGGTGCGTGGTCAATTAAAAGAAGAAGGGAAAGGATGTATTTGCAACTCACTTCAAACCAATTTGTTGGTTGGTGATCGCCTGAATTATTCCGCAGGGAATGACATAGATGAAGGCTATTGAACAAGTAATTTACTGCTATTTAGAAACGGTTTGAGAAGTAGTCAACTGCTGCTTACAAATCGACAGGGCTAGTAGGAAAGCTACAGGTCGGAGAGTGAGTCGATGACATTTTGGAAAGGCACAAATAGTTGCTCACCCCAAATAGGAAGCTCCGTCTTGAGTATTTCAATCGATATGACCGCAAAAATGAACATGCTAACTAGCACCAAAATGTCCCGTATCAGGATTGCCTCCATCCCAACGCGCATCACAAGAAGAGCACATACCAAACGTTAACCCATAATACCATTCGGGCACTCTTGCGTAACGAGACATCAGCCGCGCATGGACATCAGGTTGCTCATAAAGCGAGCGGCGTGCCTGAGTCCAGATTTGTCTCCCGTAAAAGAAGAACGCGTGAGTGAGGGTGGCGGTGATAGTGGCAAATGAAAGCCCGTAAGAAACTGCAAACGTCGCTCTTAATATTGATAAATGTACAAGTGAGCGGACGAGGAGGGTCACAGGACTGTAGGAGCTTACGATAGGAAGAGTGGACTGTAGTTCTTGTATTCTGCAATGTTCAGAGACGCATCTGGATTGATGATGCGGGTGACGTTGTAAGGATTACCCGTGTTGTCGTATGAGTTTCGAGTTGACATACTAGTTTAAATTAGTAACGGTACGATAATTGAAGTTGAGTCATACTTACGGGAGGTACTGAGTGTACCAGGTATTCGTATACTGATATAATACTCAACACTGTTATTTGGTGAGAAGAGGAACGTCCTTCTCACATATATTAAAGGTGTAAAAATCCCTAAAAATAGATATCCTCGGTTTAACCTTCGTCGACAGATTGCAAGGAAGCCTATGACGGAACTCACAATAAAAGAGTAAAAATCCAACAACGATATTAGCCTCTGCCCACCCTGTAAAGAGTTGATAAGGTGAATGAATGACTTCCAAAAAATACGTACAAGGTGTTGCCAGACTACATATGTGAACAGCATCATAAGACGGAGAAGATAATAGATAGTGACAATAAAGGAAATACGTACGGACTGCCAATGTACGCAATCTGCGCCCAGTCGAAAGAGAATAGGCTGAAATGACGGAAGGCTCATCGTAAATCCTTCAAAATTCAACGTTGCTCAAAGAACGTACCTCATACCCTGTCATGAGCAATACTGAATTTAATGAATGTCATTTTTGACAGTGTAGCTAAATATCACGTACCAGTCCGTGAAAGTATCCAAACATCTGATTGATGATCTAATAAAGCCTAATCAATATTTCAAGCATATCGCCTATGGAGAAGGTACATACCACATTGTCTGGAGCGATCCAGCAGACCTATGAGATGGCATTCTGAGTCTCATCTGTGGTCTGATTTATGTGTGACTTTCTTACCCAGGAAAAGGTGCTGCCGTGCAGAAAATAAGTATCATAGCTAATTGGACTCATTCTCTGCTAAGGCTCACCTGAGCGCTTGAAAGAGATAACCAGGGAAGAAATCTAAGCCAGGCAAGTCAGGCAAGATGATGGTACGCTCCAGAAGAAAGCGTCTCTTACAATACACAGCAGATCCAACAAAACAGTAGAAAAAGAATCGTTCACGACTCAACCCTTTACGATCGCCAATTCCGGCATAAGTTTGAGAGTGGAGAGTATTGAATAGGGCGCAAATAACCAGATTGGCGGGCCAGACTGGATTTAAGAATCAAGCGTTCACAACGTGAATTTCAAAGATTTAAGTGCGCAAAGCATACTCATGGACGGAGGGTCAACCAAGAACCGTCGACTAATGCCTCCGATCGAGAACCAATAAGTTGAGTCGACATGACGATCATCCACTGGACTGAGTAGCTCAGGTTAGTTTAAAGGTCAGAAGGGATAAAGTCTCGAAAGCGACTCACGTCCAAAGTTGAAAATTTGGTTATAATACACTCTTTGAACGGCAATAACGTCTGTCTGTAGAAGAATTAGCAGTATGAGGATGCTTGAATGTTGAATACGCACGGCGTAAGCTGAGGATCATGTAAAGGTAAGCAGCTTGCAAATGCTAAAATGAGGAGGTTGGCTTACCTGTACCAGCGCCGACCTGGACAAGGAAGCGGCACAGTGAGCAAAGTAAGATTATAGTTATAAGATGTTGCAGGTCTTACGATGCCATGATGGTGATAAGGACCTGGAAAACATAAGAAGCTGACTTGGACATTTAGAAAGTAATCACACATACATGCTCTTTTATCGTAAACGGACCAGGATTGAGAGGTATGCCGAAGAAGGTCACATTTGGGACGCAGCTTGCCCAAGCTCTTCCAAGAGGAAAAGACAAGAGCTGGGCGACAATCTACCAAAAAGAAAGACATAGCAATCACCACGAGGAATAATGAGCAATTGTATGTCAACTTACGCCTCCAATGCCGACAGAGGGATACCGTAGGTAAAAGAATTGGTTCAGACCCTGAAGGAATTGCATTATGGGCTGAGGTCAAAGCGGTTTTAAGAGGACTTACCGGAATCAAAATTGACCAAAGTATTCCTGGAATAGTTTGTAGTGAGTTAGCATACGGTGTCTCTCCAAAAAAAGTTGCTTGACCCTCACCTATGACCCAGGATCGCACAGTTGAAACAGGCATTGAAGAATCGTCGGTATTGGAGACGGCTGATCTGACTTCTGGGTAGGGCGAGTCGTCGTCCGGCATGTTTGATTTAGGTTGGTCCAGCTCCAAGTTCGGGTCGTCAAAGTCTGGGGTGGAAGTGGTGTATCGATATCGGTGGCAACTATCGGAAATATCAACATCAAGACGCAGCAGACAAAAGAAATGGTCTCAACTGATAGTAATCCCGCTCTCCAGCTCTTCCTTTCCATGATTTGTGACGTCCTCCTTCATAGGGGGAGGGTCAACGGATCTTCAATGTCGGACATGTCCGGCTCGAGTCTTGCTTCAGGTGGCTGTCACAAAGAAGAGGTCGTCCAGTCGCCAGTCGCAGGATTTCTTATAGGAAAGTGCCTGAGGTAAAAAGAAAATTAGCTTTCGAAGTCGCTCTTGCGACCATGCTGGAGAAGGTGGATAGAAGCGTTCTACGGCCGTGGAGGATCCTTTACTGGGTTTAGGTCAGGTAATGATCCATTCTGATAGCCACTTATACTCACTCGTTCCGATACTGAAGCAAATGGCTACGCCCCAAATCGGCTCCTCAAGATACCTTAAAGAAACCTCGAGGAAGGGGGAAGTAAAGGTAAATTCATGGGTCACGCTTGGGTGCATATGGACGCATCAAAGAATGGGCGCCCATACTGATC